GGCTTCGATTATCCGGGATATAATCCTTCGCTTCATTGCGGTCGCTTTTATTGGTGACCATTAATATGCGGTCAGTTTCTGATTTTTGTCCACGTGGAACAACCTGGGTTGGCCGGCTGGACAAAATGCGTTATCTAGACGGTCAACGGGGGACGAAGTTATTTGATTGGTGGAGCATTAAGTCCGTTGATTGAGTTGGCTTCGATTACTATCCGGGCATTATTAATCTCGCTTCCCATTGGAACGATTTATGGCCCCTGGCCTGACATAAATATGATTTATGGTGAGCCATAAATATGTTATGTTCAGTGTATTCTTGATTTATTGTCCACCGGTGCGCAAACATAACCGTTGCGTCTCCGAGTTTAGAACCCGTTCATGCACGCAAAGGAATATCAAGCGACTCGTTATGCTAGTGCTGCTACCTACACACGCGTGTCAGGTTTAGCAGTCACCTTTAAACCGGACTATTTACTAGGCTCGTGTCTATAAATTGCTCTGTATGAATCGACTAGTATAGTTACTCTTGAGCTACGCACGCACGAGCATAAGCACACACACAATACACATACACGCACGCACGCCACGCACGCACATACGCGCACGCGCACGCACGCACATTACGAAGCACATCACGACACGCACACGACAGCACACGGCACACGCACACGCACAGCCACACACACGAGCACGTCGCGCGCGTACACACACACAATTATTACAGATAACAATACATTACATCAGGAGTGAATAATAATAGATTATTATTCACTCCTGATTACATCATACGTGTGTTACAGATAACTAGTGCCATCTCTAATATTTCTAGATATCGATAATAATTGATTAGATGAGAACAGCATTCCGAATTACCCTCAGCATCTAACTGGTGAGCGCTGCCGTTGGCGGGTTGCTGGTTCATGCCGTACGGTTCGCATCTGTTAGCGAGCTCCGACAGTATGATACCGTAGCTGTAGACATCTCCCTTCTGCGTGCCGTACATAGGAGTCTTAAACATGCGCAGAATCTCCGGCGCCGTCCATAGAAGCTCTGTGCACCGAAGCAATAATTATAGCGTTTGAGCCCGATCGCTATACGTACGTTACATTCGCTATTATCAAGAGTGCGTGATATCATCAAGATTATATCAAGATATTATCAGGAGTGAATAATAATAATATTATTATTATAATAATTCTTCTTCTTCTTCTTCTTCTTCTTCTTCTTCTTATTATTATTATTATATTGTTATTCGCGCTTGATATTATCATGCGTGGATAGAAACTTTCTATTCATGTGCTCGTGCTATTATCGGTCGATGGTACTTGCAATTCTTGTATCAAGAGCTAATAATACCACTTGATTGTATGTGTATCAGTCGGTATAGCGCACATGAATCATTTTAACCACAATATATCGTAGCATTAATCCAGGTTGTTTAAAAAAAATTACCGTGTATATTATGGACGCGGAACGTTCGCCTCGGGCTCTTTCTCTCTCTCCCCCTCTCCCTTTCCTCCCGCTCTTTGATTCTCTCTCTAATATCTACCTATCTATCTATCCATCGATCCGTCCGTCCTTCCGTTCGTCCGTCCGTCCGTCCGTCCGTCCGTCCGTCCGTCCGTCCGTCCATCCATCTATCCATCCATCCACCCACCCAGACCCGACCACCGACCCAACCACCCAACCACCCATCTACTAGAAACTGTTTTGCCTCGTGAGAAATGAACTTGCTGTTTTTGTCAGGATTGTCATGTGAGCATTGTGGGCATTGTCACATATTGCGTCTAAACGTTTGTTGCTGCTGCCAAGGACGCTGCCGCCATGACTGTAACAAGCTAATTCCCACGCCTCTGCAGCGGATAAAAAATATATTAAATTATACTTTACATACGTTTACACACAATGATATATATATATATATTAATGCGTAATATAGAAGACTGACCGCTGTAGTTAGGATATGCAGGCGTATCGCTCATCTCTTCGTTCTTACGAAAGCTTCCGAGCCCGAAATCCGTGACCTTCACCACCCATCGGCTATCTACGATGCAGTTGGAACTCTTTAGGTGTCCGTGAGACTTAAGTGCGCTGTTGTGAATGTATATCATACCCTGTAAGGAACGGGAAATCTCTATATTATATTATATTAGTATTGATTACTAGTTTATCTCTTTATTTTTATCACGTGCAACTGTAGTGTTGAAGATGAAAGCTGTAGGCGTTCCTATTCCATTCACATCTACATATTAGCGAGATATATAGTTTACCGCGCTGCTATACTATTTGAGAGACGCTGTGCTCGTAATTGTAAGTCGATGAGTTGGATTTCCCAATGTCATGCTGGGTGCTTAGTGAGCATACATACGTTGCAGATATCAGTAGCGATCGACAGAACAAAGTCCTTGTCCAGCTTGATATTGTCGTTGTCAATGATATCCTGACAGTTACCAAAGATTAAGATTTACATGTTATTAACGTAATTATACATAGCTTACGATAACTGTAAACCAGAGTTTTGAATCTTGTTTTCAACATCACACATAAACCGATTAGTTAGTTGATTTACGCCAGGGGCGTAAATCCTGGGGGGATGAGGGGGATACATCCCCCCGCTCTTGAAGGAGGGGGGATAACCTGTACAAATATCCCCCCCTAAGATTTAAAAAAAAGAGAGAAACAAAATAGCCAAAATGTATGGTTGCAAACATACAAAAACACGTGAAATTGTGAGAAATTGCAATTCTTACATGTTTTAATACATGTATTATTACTATAGTAACCTAACTATGTACGCTCTCTGAAAAGTCATGAAAAGTGGTTTGAATCCTAATTTGTAGGGTTGAGTCTAGCGTTGAGATAGTGTCATCAGACATGAGAATATGGCCCACAGTATGCCTCAGATTGCAGGAAAATGGCTTAAATATTTCAAAATATTCTGGGGGGCATGCCCCCAGACCCCCCTAGCAATGGCATGCATACGGCACGCGGGCCTGCCTGCGGCAGCCAAGGTTAATTCCCCCCCCCCGGCTACCGCCGATCACCCCCGCCACTCCTCGGTACGGATTTACGCCCCTGATTTACGCTAATGATTACGTAAACGCCATTATAAGAAGAGAGGAAGACGCCCCCGATGTCATGTGATATTCTACGATTTATCCAGCCACATGCTCTAACCGAAATGGTGTTGTAAGGTTTTCAACATTTAGGAAACGCTCATAGCTTCACTGTTATATTATGTACTGATTTTCGACATCGTACGAAATAATATATCGCTTAATATCGTATAATATATTGCTCTTAAATTTCTCTAAAAAATTTTAAATAATTAAATATTAATTATCTAAAAATTTGGAGAGTAATTACGAGTACCCTAGAAGCCGTAAGAAAACAAATTTGTTTCGGCAACAACTTCAAAACGTGGCCAAGAAAATAACATAACTGGATTTTCCTTTTCAAGCTTACCTGAGCGCTTCCTTTATTACAGTAAGCCGTCACTATGTACACTTCTGGCTCCAATATAGCTCCAATAAATTGGTTAATATTGTCGTGATTCATTTGACGTACCTGTAAAACGTATATGGGTATATTGATTCGTGTATTAGATTAGCCCATAAATAATAATATTAACGTTTACAGTTTACATTTCACGATTTTAATGCGGTTTATCTACATTTGTTGATCTAATTCTTTAATTAAAAAGTGTTTAGCTTTATGTTGCATAGCAATTTTTTTCATCGAGTAAAATTATTGGGCAATCTACTTACCAATGATATTTCCTCTAATACATTCCTATCTATGTTCAAGCGTTTGCCTTTAGTGATTTTCTTCAAGGATACTTGCCGCCCCTTTCGTAGAAAGAAAAGATATAATTACAAATACGAGTATAATAATCAACGTAGAAATAAGGCTGGTGTCGGAGGTTTTTTTTATTCCGGCTGTGATCGAGCCTTTTCCGAGTGTTAATGCGTGCCTACAATAAGTCTAATTACGTTATTAAAATTACGCGCACTATCATCAACGTTTCACAAGTTTGTTGTGTCTACAGCTGACGTACCTGGAAATACTGAATAGGTTGCGATTTTTTACCCTAGTCTCGTTGGAACGGTCTGCAGACGTTATCTACCCCTACGGCAACGAAGATATAGAATTCTGCACGTATGTACGTACGTGCGAACGAACGAACGCATGTTCAACCCTGGTTATAGCAATAACAAGTCTATTTTCCAACGAATTTTTGTGACATTTTGTGCACGTATAAATATTTAAACAAGTAAAGCATGTTGTAAAGCGTAATGTATGTGTCGAAACCACGAACAAGTTTCAGGATGTTGCGCTCAGGATCGATGATTCTGTTATCCTTTTTAGAAGACGTTTTTGCGACGCTGTGACTATTGCCTCACCCTCCCAAGGAATTGTCGCAACATTTATAGATCTGATACTCACGCTTCATATCGTAGATATCTACATGATAATACAGTACCTCGAACGAGCTAGCATTTCAGAAAGCGGCGTACGACCTGAATGTGACCGTTACGCTATTTTTAGAAAACATTCAACATCACCTTAGCGATTTTGCCCTTCAACGGACATCCATGAAACCCTCCCTATTCACGTGTTAAATACCGCGAGAGCTTGAACGAGATCGCATGAGAGGCCGATAAGGGCCTGATACTTTTACTGAAGTCACTGCTACTTCTAATAGAGAAATGATTTACGGTGCGCTGACAAACAGTTTTCGCCATTCTCCCTCGCTTGCACGGAATCACTTAAAAACACCCATCAAACGAATCACTCTCGCGAAATCTCTCCCGTACAGCGGCAGTGCGGCGCGGTGGGGGGTGGGGGGGGGGGAAGCTCGCGTCGTCTGTGACGTCAATTACCTTGTAATTTCCGACCAATGAGAAGATGTTGGTGCCGCTGCGGGTCGTCTGTGATGTGCCGCAGCGGGAGTAACTGGTTGCGCTGCTCGCAGCGATGCTCCTATTGCTCTTTCCCATCTGCAATCGCGAGGTCCGCAATTTCGTCAGGCGAGATTGATTAATGTCAGAAGAATACACTGTTGAAACGCGTATTACCGGTCGCCTCTACCGAACCATTATAAAGGACACTTCTCACGCGGGTTTCACCTCAGTCGGATTTACGCAGTGAAAGCCCGTTTATAGAACCGCAACCTGTCCATAAAGGACACATTTGTTCTCTTTCCCGTTGAGTAACCGTTATATGCAGGTTGGACTGTGCGCGAGAGCAGCGGGGCATTTCTGGGAGGAACTAGACTAGATTGTTTGCATCGAAGGTAATCGACGGCGCAGTGAAAGAGCAGCATTACGTGTCATAACAATGCAGCATCAATAACCGTGTGAATTCGTTTCCAGGCCCGAACCTGCTTACACGAGAAGCGCCCCTGCCTATATCGCGCACTCTTTGTTGCATCTGACATATAAAAAACGTATATATTATATATTAACAAATAAAATACGTTTTTTTAGGTCGGGAGATCAAAATCCGATATTCTCGGACGCGCTCACGCACTTATGTACGTTCGTCATAATTATGTGTACGACGTTCGCTATTTATTCGTTAGATGAATGCCCGACACTCGTACGTGCTGGCTATAATGACGTTTCTATACGTAACATTTGTCGGTAGCCGTGTCTGGAATGCGTTAATCACCACAGCAATTAGCTAATTGCTGATGCGTGTACGTGCGTGGGCTGTGCTCGTTGTGCTCGCTGTGCACTCTAGCTAATGTCAGTGATGAGCTGCATATGGATTCAACCTAATGTTAGTGATGCAGACTCTTGATTCTCTGTAATGTCAGTGATGCAGACGCTGGCTTATCTGTAATGTCAGTGATGCAGACTCTTGATTCTCTGTAATGTTAGTGATGCAGCCTCTGGCTTATCTGTAATGTTAGTGATGCAGCCTCTGGCTTATCTGTAATGTTCGTGATGCAGACTTTGGTGGATTCTATCTAATGTTCATGATTTGAGCTAATACTAGTGATGCTTACTTTTATGGGTTCGATCTAACATTGCCGTTGCTTGCCGTGAGTTATACCTAACGTCCATTGCAGTGGGAATGTTGTCAGAGCCAGGCGTGCGCGCGGGTTCTGAAACGCGAGTAGTTTAAAATTGAAGCACTTACGCTGCGGCTTGCGCCCAAGCTGCTGAACAAGACGTCGTCTATGGAGATTCTCCACAGATCGATGTGGTGTAGGTCTGACTCGTATTTCACCTTCCTGCGCATAAACACACACACGCGCGCGCGTATACGCGGTTCGCATAAACGACATCACATTGTACTTCCCCCACGCGAATATTCCAGTTATAAGAACTATAGACGTTATGATATATATATATATATATAATATAGTAGTGTGTGCTGTGTGTGTCGTTGTGCTGTGCTGTGCTGTGTGTGTGTGTGTGTGTTGTTGTGTGTGTGTGTGTGTGTGCGTGAGTGCGTGCGTGCGTGCGTGCGTGCGTGCGTGTGTATGTGTGTGTGCGTGCGTGCGTGCGTGCGTGTGTGCGTGCATCTGCGCGTGTATGAGTTGCAAACCTTATAGGAGCGTATTAGATGCGTAAGATTATACTACGAAATAATAAGAGCTCAAAGAAAAGAGAAAAAAATTACAGAAAATATTTGGCAAACAACGGCTATGGATTATGAGACGTAAATAGAGTTCCAATAACGGGTGACGGTACCTAATGTACAAGACTACGCAGATGAGAAATCCAAGAACAACCGTCACCACGAAGACGATAGCAACAGCAACACCAGCGCCTGAAAGAAACAAGTGACAGCTGCCTTAACTAAACAGCATCGCTGTCCACACTCCGAGTCGGCATTTACGTTTTCGTGATGCGCGTATGAAACCTTTTTCCATTGTTTCTTCTCTAATTATCGAAGATTACTTCCGATGTTTTCAGGTCTCTGAACGTAACTTTGTCAACCAACGTTTTCTGCGAGTAAAATCGTCAGGGATTATTTACTAGTTAAATGTCTAGGTTACCCATTAGTTCGACGCAGAATTCGTTGTTCCATCCGCACGGAGGATGGTCTTCTGGAACTATGGTTCCTCCCCCGGGGAAGATCACCACGTAGCTTTTGTTCACCATCAGCGTTCCATCGGAATGTCGATAGAAGGCAAACGCGTAGAAGTCGTCCTTGAAGTTTTGCAAAACGTAGTCGGGAGCTCGGTTTCCCTGCGCGTCGATGAAGATCGGTCCCGACATGCCTTTGAATTACAAAAATATAAAATGTGTGGTAACATTAATTGCCTCGTTAAATCGAATTACAGCGAGGTTGCTTTCTTATTGCAACCATGATTCCGTCTAAACGAGCTGACAATTTTAGTGTAAATTCGTGAAGTTTGCGCAAAACGGTCGTTTCTGCTAAATCAATTTGTGATCCACCAGGCAGCGGCCATTTTTATTTTGCGTGCATCACCGTTTTTGACTTTCACGACTTTCCCTGCAATGCAAAAAATACTGTCTTGTGGCTTGTCACGCTAAGGAAAAATGAAGCTGTGTAACGCACGGTGAAATCTGCATGCAGTCGAACGTGGGGGTAACGATGGGAGATTCCAGCCACCATGGGTCACCCGACATGCTGTTCACATTAGTCCGCCGCTTGCGTCGATGAGATCTCAAAGAGACAGCGCACGTACTCCCGTTTTCACACCATTTCACACATCATTCTTCAAGCTACGCACCAACTAGAAATCACATCGCGTTGCTCTAATGACCAATTATATGCCGCTCCGTTCCCTTGCAAGCGTCGTGCATATAGTACGGAGTAGGGTAGGGGAAAATTTTTAGCTAATTCTAGTGTGTGCATTGCTCGTTAACACGCCGACCGAAGAGTCGATGTTAGTTAATGAGAGATCCGCATGATTGCGCACTGCCGCTGTCATCCGCCGAGAAGGTCACGGTCTTGCTGGAAACCTGCGTATGTTCCTCATTAATGTGTCACTATAATTATACCGCCTCAATAACGTATAGGGCTTTATATGGCGTGTTGCTCTTGTAAGCTAACGATCGCACCCTTGACAGCATGCTGAATATGTTTCGATAATTATCACAGAAATAACTTTCTCGATCTGACATACTCATCAGGCAGCGGCAATCCAATATTGTTATTTCATCCTTATTCGGTGTGCATGCTATCTTAAGGTAGTATCTCACTGGGCTGCAACAGCTCGCGACTAGTTGGAGACACAAAATTGCGAGAAAATACGCAAATTAGCGACAATTTCCACTTGGAATCACACTGAATTGGTACTTACGACACGTTCGAGTATGTCGCACGAATGTTACATGACCAATCCATCTCGCGACACTCGCGCGACATTCACGCAACAAAATTGAGAATTTTTTGCACTTGCGACTGTCGCGCGACAGTTATGCGTGACAATTGAGAAATCTGGACCATATAAATACGGGGCCCCTCCTCAGTCAAGCAATCATTTTGTCATCAGACGTCAAGCGAGATGGACCTCAGAAAAGAAGTGCAGAAGCTGCTGGATGAGGACCCCAACCTGGATGAGGACCAGGCTGACATAGTTTCATAAGTCGCCAACCCCTCACAAAGTTGTTTCACATTTCTCGCACTTTCTGACTCACGAAACCTAAATTGAGAAGGGTTCGAGACGGGTTTGATACACCCGCGACGACTCTGTGACTATTTTAAGAGAAAATTTGTCGCGCGAATTTTTTGAACATGTTCAAAATTCCAGCGACACGAGAGCGAGGCCCTGCGACTCACGCGAGGAAATTGAGAACCCCTGCGAACGCTTCGAGACATTTTGTAATCTCCCTCGCGAATGCCGTTCGCAATTTTGTCGCCAACAGTCACCCCTTCCTTCCCCGGTCTTGGGTGATGTCACTGTCTGTGTTTCGCAATCCCAGCTAGCAAAAGCACACCAACATCGACGACAACTTATGCCTGCACACTGCACAGCATCAGAAAACATGCGATACATATATGCAGTGAAACACACGCCGCCTCCTGCGTAGCCGTGCGATCAGCGCGCAAATTTTACTCAACAAGTCGTAAGTCACCGAGTATTATATAACAACCTGTAAAATTGCGATCAGTCATTCGGTGCTTTATAGCAGCACCATCTAGCGGAGTGCCGCCGAACTGAAGGTGGTCGTGCAGAGCCAAGGCGTACAACTTTACGGCGTCGTATAGCAGAGCGTCCTGCGTCCCAACCTGGTGAAAGATACCGGGTTAATGATACTGGTTAAAAACAATGGGTTACAGATACTAGTTAAAATCTCTGGGTTAACGATACTGGGTAAAAACACTGGGTTAACGATACTGGTTAAAAGCACTGGGTTAACGATACTAGCTAAAAATACTAGGTTAACGATACTGGTTAAAAGCACTGGGTTAACGATACTATAGCTAAAAAAAAAAACTAGGTTAACGATACTGGTTAAAAGCACTGAGTTGATGATACTAGCTAAAAATACTAGGTTAACGATACTGGTTAAAAGCACTGAGTTGATGATACTGGTTAAAAACGCTGGATTAAAGACACTGGTAGAGACACTGGATTACCGATACTGGTTATCGAAATTGGGTTAACTGGTTAAAGATCTTGTTACAAGAACAAATAAATAATGAGATGGAAAGGTAGAGGGACGAACGAGGGCGAAAGTATATGGATGGATAGAATGATGGATGGATGGATGGATAGATGGATGGATGAATAGATGGATGGATGGATGGATGGATAGATGGATGGATGGA